AGACACCAGACATAGTGTGTATGAAAAAAACCCGACTTTATCTATATATGTCGATTTATTTGTACAAAATATATTCTTTACGCCTTTTCCCCAATAGTATAAGTACAGCCCCGTGTGCGAAATACGAGGGATGTATCGTTTTACATTTCCATATGCGGAAAGCGCACGTTTAATCTCCAATCTAGATAGAAGTAGATACTGCAAGCAAAAAAAACAATCGTCACGCACCACCGCAACCTTGCACCGGTAGCTTAAGGCCACGCCCTCAAACAGTGAGAGAGAGAGAATATTTTATTAAGATATCACTTGCAAAAAACATATACATACTGCATAAAAACAAAAAAACAATTATCATCGGTATTGCACCCAGCCTTTACAGGCTTATGAGACATCGTATGTACATTAAACCATGTATAAAAGTATCCAAGTCAAACATTTTAAGCTTTTTTCTTACATTGTACCATCATCTTTTCTTATTCCAGCAGCCAAGGAACTGTCAATTTTTTGGGACACCATATTTAAACGTTATATGTGCATATTAATATCAAAATGGCTGACTATTTTTAGTACAAAATAATAAGAAAAATAACCATCAAAACACCTATTTATGTGTATGTTAACACCAGTATGATTAAACCACTTGATTAGTACATACGTGCAAGTTTTAAATGTTAGGGAATATCTTCTAGTAAGAATACCAAATGATAATTTCAAAAGACATAGTTTTAGACTGTTGTCGATGTGTAACCTCATTTAGTCTTTAATTTCTCATCTGAGATAATACTGTAAGCAAGAATAACAAGTGATAACTCCGCCAAATACCTCTTCAAACTATTTCCTGTGTGATCACAGTTGACTAGATTTTGTGATACAATATTACAAGTAGTGTAACCGACAAACACTTCTTTACCTGCAAGTTAACACCGACATTGTTTAACCCTTTGATTAGCACATACTTGCAAGCTGTTAATATTAGAGAGTATCTACTATTAAGCATAACAAATTATACTTTCAGCAGACACAGTTTAGAATGTTGCCATTGTGTAACCTTATTAGTCTTTAAATTCTCAATTTAGAAAATAATGTGAGCAATTATAACAAGTGATAACTCCAACCTTTACATCTTTAAATCTTTTCCAATGAAATTATTGATCTAATAATATTAAGACCGTTACTTTTCAGGGAAAGTGACTTTACATCTCAGACACGCACGTCTTTAGTCTGCTGCGTCCTCCTGCGAAACATTTTTTAGAATTGTTGTAGCTAAATCACTTTGTATATATTTGTTTTTTATCAAGAGCTTAAGTTTATCTACATCATGTACGGTCGCGTTGGCCAGATTTGCTTTTTCGAGCAGTAAGATTCTAAAATCAGAATAAAAGGGGCATTTTAAAAGGAAGTGCATTTCGTCCTCGACACATGAATGGTGACAGAATTTACAGACTCTATTTTGCAGCGGTACAGATGGCCTACATATTCTACCGGTCTCTATTTCTAGAGGGAGAGTTCCACAGCGAAACTTAGCTAGGATACTTCTGTGTGATCTTGGCATTATCTTGTTTACATAGGTTTCTGTTGTCAGGTATGTCTTGAAAATCCTATACGTCCGTAACTTGTTTCCATTACTCTGGGGGGCGGTCGGGTAGCCTAGTGGTTAAAGCGTTCGCTCGTCACGCAGAAGACCCGGGTTCGATTCCCGACATGGGTACAATGTGTGAAGCCCATTTCAGGTGCCCCCCGCCGTGATATTGCTGGAATATTGCTAAAAGCGGCGTAAAACCATACTCACTCACTCACTCCATTACTCTGTCCACTGTCATCATAGAGCCTTGTAAGGCACTTTTCTTTGTAAAGTTCTAACAGCTTTGATTTGACACAGTTGAATTCAAATTCGTTCATGTTGTGTATATCCTGAATATTCAAGTTCAGTCTTTGAAGCAGAGTAATCACTGTGTTTGCCCATCCTTTCCTGCATCGAAGAGACCAAGCTAGGACAACTCCGGGCGTTCTATTTTGGTCAAGACGATTGATCCTTTTCCAAAGTCTGATTACTTCAATCTGTTGTAGGGTGAGGCATGAGTACCATCCCAGTTCGCCTCTCACAGCTAGGTTAGGGGTTTTCGCGCCAACTCCAAGGAAAAATCTGCAAGCACGGTGGTGAACATTATTTATGCATCTAAACTCCCTTGTTCCCCACACTCCAGCTCCATACGTTAGGATCGGTGCGACTAAATTGTTGAAGAGTGTATTATAAACCTCAAACGCCATGCCACCATGCCACCAGTTTGTTTGAATTTACTGATTATAACTGATAGAGCTCTGTTAGCTGACTTAGCTAGTTCTTTCGTAGCGAAATTCATGTCCAAGTTTTCTTCGAACCACAGACCAAGGTACTTGTATGCCTTGTATAGTGCACATCCTGTCCCGAGATTGAGAAACTAAAGTCAGATTTGTCTTTCCCTTTGCATCTGAAATGGACAACATTAGTCTTGTTGATGTTTACTTGTAGTCTCCATCTGGAACACGAGGAGCTGACTGTGTCCAACATACGCTGTAAACTTCTTTCATCTGGAGCAATAAGTGCAATATCATCTGCATATAAGAGTATAATCAACATACTGTCATTGACCTTGATTCCACACTGCAGGTTATTGATTTCAATTGCTAAATCGTTTACAAAAACGGAGAACATAGACGGCGATAAGATACAGCCTTGACGGACTCCAATGGACACATCAAACGGGTCAGTAAGGTAACCATCTACTCTAACTTGACTCGTTGTATTCTCATACATGGATACCACAGCGTCGTAGAATTTTCCAGACACTCCAAGCTTCTGTAATTTGTACCACAAACAGCTTCTGTTCACCCTATCAAATGCCTTCATCGCATCTATGAAAAAAACAAAAGTTGATTGTTTACTCTGGTTTCTACCGTGAATTAACGAGAATAAAGTGTATATGTGTTCTTGTGTACTCCTATGTTTTCTGAAACCGTTCTGTTCCTCTACTAAAACGTTATTGCTTTCTAACCAGTTACTGAACCTGGTATTCAATATATCAGCATATGTCTTGCATGGAATAAAAAGTAGTGATATTCCTCGATAACCATATGGATCTTTTGGGTCAGCATTGGCTTTCTTCAATGGGTGAATGATTGCTCTATTCCATGTCTCTGGACAGATGTTATTCTCAAAGCAATGTGTAAACATTCTAAACAAGATGTCTATACAGGATGCATTTTTGAGTGCTCCAGCTGGGATCAAATCTACTCCTACCGATTTGCCACGCTTTTCCCTGGTAACTGCTTGCTCGACTTCAGCTAGAGTAATTGGGCAATTCAAGCTTGTTATATCAACGTTATAATCAGGTTCGATATTACCATTATACAGCTGTTGACGTATGTATTGAATATGTTGATCATCAAAGTTTCCATCTGCAGCATATATATCTATAAAAGATTCCTGCCAGGTCTCAAGCACTAGCCTCTTATCTGTTACTGTGCCATTGCCCTTCACCACTTCCCATGGGATTTGACTTGACCTCTCATTACTGACACCAATCTCTCCTATGACCTTCCAGAACTCTTTACTATTGGTATGTTCATACTTTTCCAGTAGTTTCTTTTGACTTGCTAATTGATATTATCTCTTTGTAGAGTTCGATCAAATGTTTTCCTAGCACTAACGAAAACATGTCTAAGTTCACGTTTACGAACAGTGGAACAGTTTTGTTTTGGAATCCGACTACAGAGCGTGTGTTTTCAGCACTTTCAAGAATATGCAATTTGAAATGGGTAAACAATTAGTGGAAAGTATGAATATAGTAAGTGATTACAGCAACAACAAAAAACACAATCAGATATACACTACTTGTTTATTCATTCCGACATCAATACTTGATGCATTAATTAATAAGGGCAATGTTGTATGTCCTTTGGATGACACATTGTTTTTGTTTTTTTAAACAATATTTATTTGCACTTGGTACAGTGAAAGGGGATTGATAACAGGCAGAGTCTACATAAATATCTCTCCCCATCAAAGTTCGAACAAAGAGCAGTAGTATATACATTATAAGTAGTATAAACTTGATATTAAGTAACATGTGGTACATCAAAGAAAAAACGGTTGTTGGTGAGATATATATCAGAGTGCATGCTTAGACAATTGTTTTGCTCCTAGAGAGCAAAGTGAAGGTCAATTCTTATAATTTTTTTATCACAATTTCTTACCTCAAAAGATATAGGCCTAGATCTAAACACAATTTTATTTAGTACGTGTGACTTCATGTTTACACTGACAGCCATACAACAACCAGCTATATCGCGGAGTAAAATAGTTCCTCAAAAAGAGAGGTGACATGGGCGTATGGATGCACAACTTGCTCTCCAGAAACATCTTACGCAGCACATGTGTTCAAATCATATCCTCATTAGATGAGAAAGGTCTGTAAAGAACTACCTCAGTAAGTCAGTCACAATGACAGCGCGTCGTAATACATTTACATCAAGTACAAGACGTCAAAATGGCCGACACGATAAACGTGACGGGAGAGATTTCCGAAGTTGTTGATGAACCTTTGGCGGTTACATGTGTTAGTCATCATTGATCAACTGGCCGATCATTGAAAGGTGAATACAGATGCGTCAAACAGACACAAAGGTAAATTCATAGATTGCTGGAGGAGGTCAATGTCAGCCTAGGCACGGATCGAGTCGATACTACGATAGTTTAGATGTGCATTTCTTCGTTTGTTCATTAGGATGGGCCGTAGCGAGGATATTCGTAAACAATCATGCAGTCACGCTCTCTGACATTTCTCAAAGTATACTGAAACGCTGAGACCAAGAATAAAGGTTCTAAATGATCAGAAAGAACGCTTATGCATGTTTTCGTGCTAGGGAATTCCCAGGGGTTTCCCCAGGAATGTGGAAGTAGTCCGTCAGTGTTTACGTCATTTCAAGAACACGGTCTCGTGAAAAACTTATGAACGTCAAATTGTGTCGTTCATACACTTATGAACGTCAATTTCGCGGTCATGTGACCGATCTCTCGTCCAATGGAAAAGCCGTATATCGTGTTAACTTCAAATAAAAAAAATATAACAAATTAATCTCAAATTAATCTATCAGAAACTTACTTCTAATAGGCAACACGAGCAGCGTTTTAATACTTTTATTATCAATGAATAGAAAGGAGACATTTGTTCCCAACATGTGTAAATAATTATAGATTAATCTGTTGAAAATTATTGTTTTCCTGAGCTGCCAGGAAGGATATCCTTCGCCTCCTCAGAACCTGATTCTTCAAATTGTTTTAAAAGAGCTGTCTGAATGGTTTATTGGAATTATAACATGTGTGTTAAATGCGTGATAGGTTAGCTAAGATAGAGGTATATCAGCTCAAGTACACACTACTTTGCGAGTCTTTGCTCCTCCTGAACTCTTTACTTTATACTTTAGATGAAGAAATGCTGTACTATTTGCTTATAGTGATGTGATAAGTTAAGATTTAAGTGGAAATCTGCTCAATCAATATCAGAACAGTACAAGCTACAGAGCTTTCTTGGCAGCTTTGGTCACTTTACCAGGGCCTTCTTTCTTCTGGGTCACCTCCTTGATGATTCCAACGGCCACCGTCTGTTGAAAGTCGCGGACAGCAAACCTGCCCAGTGGAGCAAATTTGGCAAATGGCTCCACGCACATTGGTTTTGATGGTATCAGATTTATGATGGCAGCGTCTCCAGACTTCAAGAACCTGGGTCTGTCTTCTAACTTCTTGCCATTCCTACGGTCCACTTTCTCTTTAAGTTCCGCGAACTTACATGCGACGTGTGCTGTGTGGCAATCCAGTACTGGGGAGTAGCCAGCAGCGATCTGTCCGGGATGGTTCAGAACAATCACCTGTAAAGAAGGATAGTTTATGTGATAAAATTAAAACGACAAAAGATGGACAGGTTGCAGAGTTTAGCTTGCATGATGGGGTGTGTAGTGATTTGCTGTGATGTGGTGTGGTGTTGTATAATATGTGGCGAAGCATGCATTACTATAATGTGGGGAGTGGTTGGGTAGCCTAGTGGTTAACGCGTTCGGTCGTCACGCCGAAGATCCGGGTTCGATTCCCGACATGGGTACAATGTGTGAAGTCTCTGTTCTGGTGTACGCCGTTGTGATATTGCTGGAAGATTGCTAAAAGCGGGGTAAAACCATTCTCACTCACTTCTATGATGGAAGAACGTCTGGGTATTTTTTTTTCCTTTTTAAACATTTAGACAAAATATCTTTGGTTCAGAAAGCAACATTATGGAGGTCCTAAATTACCATTTACCTGAGCATCGAAACACTCTGCTGTGACTGGTGGGTCGTCCTTGCTATTACCCGTTACGTTTCCTCGACGTATGTCCTTGACGGAGATGTTCTTGACGTTGAAGCCGACATTGTCCCCAGGTAAGGCCTCAGCCAGTGATTCGTGGTTCCTCTCTACTGACATGACCTGAAATATCACCATGGATTAAACGTAGAAACTGAAATCATATATGAAGCTTTAATAAAAGAAATTCGTTTTATACTCAAGAAGAGGCGGCACTGTAGAAGTACCCAAGACGTGTTACCTCTGTTGTGATGTTAGCAGGGGCAAACGTAACGATCATTCCAGGCTTCAGAACTCCTGTTTCTACTCTGCCCACTGGTACAGTTCCAATACCTGACCGAAAAAACAATGTAAATGTCCTCGATTTTAATTTGGAGATAATGATACATATAATCAGAAAGGGTTTGATAGATTTATTTTGGGATCTTGATTGTTTAAATTTAAGTTCAAACTCTCATTTGATCATAAGGAACATTACTTCTATCAATCACTTCCACAACAATTGGGACGTCTCTTGATTGCGTTATGTCAATTCTAATAAAAATGAAAATAATATAATGAGTATAATATGCTCATTGACCTCCCACGTTCTGTGGATTTTTAAAAATATTAGCATAGAACAAAATGCCTTTCGAAAGTATACATATGACGTTTTTGGTACAAAAGACTCCCGGACATCAAGTTTTTTAACCAATCAGAATGCAGCACACACTCACCTCCAATGTTATAGACGTGTTGAAGTGGGAGGCGTAGAGGTTTTGTTAATGGTCTTTCGGGAGGTATGATGCTATCGAGGGCTTCGATAAGCGTTTTTCCTGAAGCTTTTACTTGTTTGTCACTAACAGTTTTCTCGGTGGACCAACCTTTATACCAAGGCATCTTTTCACTTTCTTTAAGCAGGTTGTCCCCATGCCAACCAGAGATAGGAACAAATGCCACTGATTTATTGTCAAAGCCAACCTTTTTCAAGTAGGCTTTAACCTCGGTGACAATTTCCTGAAACCTCTTTTCAGAAAAGGGTGGTACCGTACGGTCCATCTTATTCACGCCAACAATAATTTGTTTTACCCCCAGCGTGTAGGCAAGCAGAGCATGTTCTCTTGTCTGGCCGTCTATGGACATCCCACTTTCGAACTCTCCTGGTCCCGATGCCACGATGAGAAAAGCACAGTCAGCCTGCAAAGAGAAAGACATAATGGAAAATATGAACACAGATACCTTTAGTTAGGTGAAGGACGAGGGATCAGGGTTCCCTGGAATAATTAATCAGGGTAATTGGAGAAAGGTGACGGACGATTGATTTCTGTAAGGTGACATGTCATGAGATATCACGGTGACTTGTGTCACATTAAGGACAACATAACAGGTAAAATGTTAAAACACCATCTGAGATACCATGCCGCAGTTTAACATGAATACCTCACTCAGACACAGTATACTGACTCCAGTCCTTGTTGTAGCCCCTTAATGCCGAGCGCCAGGCAGGGTTACAACAAGTACCATCTTTTAACGTCTTGATTGAACCCCGGACCTTCCGCTCTCCGGAAGGTTACGACACTAGACCAATCAGATTGTGAGCAATGGTTGACCAACTCTGGTTGTTTTAGTAGTCATCTCATGCATTTCCAGTTATTTTACAAAGACATGGATAACATATTGAACAACATTACATACGCATGATCTATCCTCATTAATAAATGCAATATATAAACGCTGATCTCCCGCTTACCTGGGAAGTTCCAGTGATCATGTTCTTGATGAAATCTCTGTGTCCTGGAGCGTCAATGATGGTGATAAAGAACTTCTTTGTCTCAAACTTCCACAGAGCAATATCGATAGTGATACCCCTTTCTCTCTCGGCTTTCAGTTTGTCCAGGACCCAGGCATATTTGAAGGACCCCTTGCCCATCTGCATCAGAGTATAGCTACAGCACTCAACTAGTTTGGTTTATAATGTAGTGAATAATATCAATACACTGGATAGAAATGTTTATTGTATTGATGGCTGAGTTTATATCGACTTTATATCATCTAGCATTAGGTACCCGAACACATATGACAGAATGGAGTCACAATGACTGGCAATGGAGACAAGATAAGTTATTTTATAAGATAAATGTTGTTTCCGGCATTGATGTTCCTGGGAGTGAATGTGTTTTAAAGAACCAGGAACATTCTATTGGTGAAAACCTCGCATCTAACTGATACATTGTTTACAAACGTAACACGTAGATAGTTTGTGTCCATAATGTATACACAGCCTGATATTACAGAAGTGGAAGTGCAAAACATCATGTATACAAACAGTTTTAATTGTTTCACGAACTCTCCTGGGGTGCCAAGGTACCTGCATCTTTGACCTGGGTGAAATTAATGTTTAAGGCATCCTACCTCTTGGGCTTCTTTCTCAAACTTCGCAATGGTCCTTTTGTCAATCCCTCCACACTTGTAGATGAGATGACCAGAGGTTGTGGACTTCCCCGAGTCCACATGGCCGATCACAACGATACTGATGTGAGTCTTTTCCTTTCCCATAGTGTCTTTTCTGCAAGAGAGTTCCCATTTAGGTCACGTCATAACGTACCATGGTTATTACACTTGTTGATAGCTCAGGTTATTTTAAACTTAGCCGGTTGAATCAACAACTACCGCATCATTAAAATGCGTTAAGACCTCAATGAACAAAATGTTTGTCTATTTGAATGTCTTCGTCCGTTTTGGGTAGTGATTTTCTTATCAGAAGCGTATATGATATTAAGCAACGTTATTACGTAATTACCCAACCCAACTGCCAAAACATAGACGACGAGTGGGAGTGGGTTTATTCTCCCTGCAGTGTTTTATTGCAAGACAAACACAGACCACGAGTCGTTTATTTCTTATATCAGATATCAACATCTTAAATGTTTGTTTGTTTGTTTGTTGTTTAACGCCGCACTCAGCAATATTCCAGCTATATGACGACGGTCTGTAAATAATCGAGTGGGGACAGACAATCCAGTGATTGACATCATGAACATCCACGCAATTGGATGCATAAACCAAGTCAGAGAGCCTGACCACCCGATCCCGTTAGTCGCCTCTTACGACAAGCATAGTCGCCTTTTACGACAAGCATGGGTTGCTGAAGACCTATTCTACCCTGGATCTTCACGGGTTAATTATGTTCATAAAATATACAAGTTTATAACTATTTACCCGTATCTAAATAATGATGACTCTTTGAATACAATCCGTCGGCAATGTCGGACAAGTCCATTTTGTGAACAGGAGGTTAAGTTTGGTATTTCCTGAAAATACACTCACAACAAACACCAACACAATTGACGGCCATTTATCTGTACCTTTCTCCCACTGCAGGTTGCCAAATCTCTTCCACTTTTGGATGCGATAGTTCGGCTATTGCGCTTCTCTACGTTGTGCCCAGCTACACCTAAGGGGAACAACTCACTACCCTCACAAATAGCGTCGTCCAATTTACGTCATGTTCGAATCTCCAGAAATGACGACACGATAGAACAATGTTTTATAGTGAAATAAACCACGCCTTACTCTTCATTGTTATTTGCGAGTTACAGTGTAGATATCTCATATTTAGAATTAAGTAAGCTTGGAAACAGGACAAAGTATACTCATGATAATCCTTTTTTTCATTTTTACCAACAACTGTCATCTGTATCCGAATAATAACTTTATAGGTCTATAATTTTGTGTGGAACCTCATTCTGACACTGACACACAGTCACATAACGACGTTTGTTTATCTGCTTCGTCTTCGGAACACTCTACGGCTTTATTCCTATGATCACGTATGCAGAGCATGTTCTTTTAATTGCATGTTACTGCTCAGAGAAAATGACATAGGAAAATGATAATGCATAAATATTGTATGGGGAAAGTGATGCGGAGAGGAGCTGTTCAGCAAGTATGTCAGTGCAAGGACGTTATGAAAGCAGCTTCTATATCTCGAAGGAGGCTTAAGTCAAGGGAGACGTATATAAACTAAGCGGCAAAAGAAAGTATAGGTTGGCAATTTGTAATTTTCCTAAAAACAGCGATAACTAGTGGAAAGTGGGTATTGGGAATATGACTGCCCAGGGACGGGTAACAAAAAGCAACTCACCCGAACGCGCCACCTTTGACGGCGCTCGTGCGGTGACAAAAAAATGGTGAAACAGGTTTCCCGCCTATGGCATAAACTGCACGTGCCTGTTAGCTGTATAAATGCGTTCGTCTGCAGGGTATAATCACACGTGATGATAGCACACAAAAGAAAAGCCAAGACTGTCACAGGAGCAGATAGAGTGAGCCATCGGTATGGTCGAAATGGGGGCAACACAGGTCCAAATTGCCAGAAGGTTTGGTTGTACACCTTTGACAGTAGCCAGGCTGATTCAACGGTACAGGCAGACATGGAGGACACAGGACAGGCCTAGAACCGGACGACCCCGAATGACAAAACCACTGGAAGACGGTCAGATACGGCTCATTCACCTGCGAAACAGACGGCCATAATTGCGTTGGGACATCCCATTAGCTAACGTGCAGTACTACTACGACGACTTCGTGCTGCTGGAATCCGAGCGTATCGTCCTTTCCGAGGAATGGTACTGACTGCTCAACATCGACGCCTGAGACTGCGATAGGCGAGGCAGATTCGACGCTGGCAAGTGAGAAATTGGCGTCGAGTGCTGTATACTGATGAAACTCGGTTTAACTAGTTTCGAAATGACGGCAGAGAACGAGTTTATCGACGCAGAGGGGAACGTTTGGCTCCGGCGTGTATTCGAGTGGTGCCATGGTGTGGGGCGGTATTTGTGGAGATCAGAAGACTGATTTGGTGATTATACAGGGAAACCTGAACGCTGTGCAGTACAGAGACCAAGTGTTGCAGCCAGTTATGCTTCCGTACATCATGAAGTACATGCGACTTGCTAACTTTGATAAAACACTCCATACCATTCAAGACTTATATTCCTGGATAGTGCGGAGTATAGAGTATCGGAAATATTTTCGAACCATCTGTCAGTATGCACTTTGTTAAGGATGCTGTAACGTCAATATCGTTTCTTCAGACTATATCAGCCCAGCACTGTCAAGTACTGCTACCACACAAAGCCGCTTCATGCTGTGCTGACTAAACATCTTACAGGGATATTTACTTTCTTTTTTAAAAGCAAAACCAGTTTGGACCTATCGACACTTGCAAAATAAGAATGTGTGCAGTGTCCTCTACAATCGATGATTTGTACATATACTTTGTTTGGTTTGTCCACCTCTGAAAACCTCTGAAACTTCAGAGTTGGTCCTTCATTGACAATCTCACATAACAAACTACCATGTTTAAAACATACTCACCCCTTAAACAAAACAATAATGTTATGCTATTTTCGACCCATCCACAAGAGAATATGTTCTCACATTCATACAAGTTCTGTCAATGAAACGTACAAGTAATAGTGACCTTGCATTGGTAGCCTACATATATACCCGTCTGTTCAATGTGAATTGTAAACACACTAATACGTTGAAGGTTTTCTATAAACACTAAAAGACTACTCACTTAAAACACCGAGCGATGACAAATGGTGCAAACAGAAATCAGCTTGATCGTCTTGACTATCTGGCAGTCAGATGAACGGGTGTTTGTTACATCACGAGATCACGTGATATTGAGCTCTTACATGACACACATACATCAACAAACCAGCGAATCTGCTGCAAGGTGCACAGTGTTCTTGTTTCAACTTGTGTCATAATCGCAATGGTATTACTCGATCTGGTGGTTTGAAGCAAAGCAACATTAGACATGTGTCCGGTTATCATGTCTGAAGAAGCTTCAGAAAATGAAATGGGGAAATTGCGTTACCCTTAAATGCAAAACAGGTGACAAATATGGTGATGCTTTCTACCCGGATTGCCAACAGACAGGTATGCTTTAATTTAGGATGTATTCTACCCGGAAAGTCTACAGGGAGACAAGCATGTATTTATAGGGGTGTATTCAACCCGCAATGTCTACAGGGAAATAGGGAGGGTTCAATATGGGTGTATTCAACCCTGAATGTCTACAGGGAAACAGGCATTGTGTTGTAGGGATGTATTCAACCCTGAATGTCTACAGGGAAACAGGCATTGTGTTATAGGGATATATTCAACCCTGAATGTCTACAGGGAGACAAGCATTGTGTTATAGGGATGTATTCAACCCTGAATGTCTTCTGGGAGACAAGCATTGTGTTGTAGGCATGTATTCAACCCTGAATGTCTACGGGAGACAAGCATTGTGTTGTAGGGATGTATTCAACCCTGAATGTCTTCTGGGAGACAAGCATTGTGTTGTAGGGATGTATTCAACCCTGAATGTCTTCTGGGAGACAAGCATTGTGTTGTAGGCATGTATTCAACCCTGAATGTCTACGGGGGACAAGCATTGTGTTGTAGGGATGTATTCAACCCTGAATGTCTTCTGGGAGACAAGCATTGTGTTGTAGGCATGTATTCAACCCTGAATGTCTTCTGGGAGACAAGCATTGTGTTGTAGGCATGTATTCAACCCTGAATGTCTACGGGGGACAAGCATTGTGTTATAGGGATGTATTCAACCCTGAATGTCTACGGGAGACAAGCATTGTGTTGTAGGGATGTATTCAACCCTGAATGTCTACAGGAGACAAGCATGGTTCAATATGGGTGTATTCTACCCTGAATGCCTACAGGAAAACAAGTATGGTTCAATATGGATGTATTCTACCGGAATGCCTACATGGGGACAAGCATGGTTCAACATGGGTGTATTCTACCCGTAGCATCTACAGGGAGAGAAGCATGGTTCAACATGGGTGTATTCTACCGGAATGCCTACAGGGAGACAAGCATGGTTCAGTATGGGTGTATTCTACCCGTAGCATCTACAGGGAGACAAGCATGGTTCAATATGGGTGTATTCTACCCGGAATGTCTACATGGAGACAAGCATGGTTAAATAGGGATGCATTCTACCCGGAACGTCTAGAGGGAAACAAGCAAGGTTCTAGATATAGGGATGTATTCTACCCAGAATACCCGCAGGGAGACAAGCATTTTTAAACATGGTAGTATTCTACCCGGAGTGCCTAGAGGGTGACAAGCATGGTTTTATAGGGATATATTCTACTCGGAATGTCTACAGGGAGATAAGCATGGCTCAATATGGGTGTGTTCTACTCGCATCATCTACAGGGAGACAAGCATTGGGAGACAAGCATGGTTCAATTTGGTGTATTGTACCCTGAATGCCTACAGGGAGACAAGGATGGTTTTATATCGATATATTCTACCGAGAATGCCTGCAGGGACACAAGCCTGGTTCAGTATGGGTGTATTCTACCCGGAATGCCTACAGGGAGACAAGCATTTTTAGATATGGGTGTATTCTACCCGGAATGCCTACAGGGAGACAAGCATGGTTCAATATGGGTGTATTGTACCCGGAATGCCTACAGGGAGACAAGCATGGTTCAGTATGGGTGCATTGTATCCGGAATGCCTACAGGGAGACAAGCATGGTTCAATATGGGTGTATTGTACCCGGAATGCCTACAGGGAGACAAGCATGGTTCAGTATGGATGTATTTTATCCCGCAATAGCTACAGGGAGACAAGCATGGTTTCATAGGGATGCATTCTATCCGGAACGTCTACAGAGAGACAAGCATGGTTTTATAGGGATGTATTCTACCCGGAATGCTGTTGTAAAAACATGACAAAATACATACATACCATCCCATGTGATACCGTTAGGATATACCAGCTACCAAACATGTGATACCACTTGGATATTCCAGCTACCACCCATGTGATACCACTTTGATATACCAGCTACCACCCATGTGATACCACTTTGATTTACCAGCTACCACCCATGTGATACCACTAGGATATACCAGCTACCACCCATGTGATACCACTTTGATATACCAACCACCACACAGCTATCATGGACTTGCATGTTTCTTCACATATGATATATTGCCTGGCCGTATCTTCTACAGGAAAACAAGTATGGTTCAATATGGGTGTATTCTACCCGGAATGCCTACAGGGAGACAAGCATGGTTCAATATGGGTGTATTCTACCCGGAATGCCTACAGAGAGACAAGCATGGTTTCAAATTTGGTGTATTGTATCCGGAATGCCTACAGAGAGACAAGCATGGTTCAATATGGGTGTATTGTACCCGGAATGCCTACAGGGAGACAAGCATGGTTCAGTATGGGTGCATTGTTTCCGGAATGCCTACAGGGAGACAAGCATGGTTCAATATGGGTGTATTGTACCCGGAATGCCTACAGGGAGACAAGCATGGTTCAGTATGGATGTATTTTATCCCGCAATAGCTACAGGGAGACAAGCATGGTTTCATAGGGATGCATTCTATCCGGAACGTCTACAGAGAGACAAGCATGGTTTTATAGGGATGTATTCTACCCGGAATGCTGTTGTAAAAACATGACAAAATACATACATACCATCCCATGTGATACCGTTAGGATATACCAGCTACCAAACATGTGATACCACTTGGATATTCCAGCTACCACCCATGTGATACCACTTTGATATACCAGCTACCACCCATGTGATACCACTTTGATTTACCAGCTACCACCCATGTGATACCACTAGGATATACCAGCTACCACCCATGTGATACCACTTTGATATACCAACCACCACACAGCTATCATGGACTTGCATGTTTCTTCACATATGATATATTGCCTGGCCGTATCTTCTACCACGGTTGATACTGCCAACGTATTGTCAAAATATATTTATTCTACTGAAAGGAGATACTGCAAGGACGAAACAGTTACCCCACACGAGGAGCCGTCAGGGCATAGCCCCTACCCTTACACGGGCTATCATCGGGTCACAGATCACGTAGATCAACATCAGGACACACATCACTTCGACCGCCATCAGGGCACAGATCACCTTGACAACCATCAGCACACACATCACCTTGACAACCATCAGCACACACATCACCTTTACAACCATCGGGAAACACGTCATATGGCAACCATCAGGACACACATCACATGGCAACCACGAGGACACACATCACACATTATCAACAACTGTAAAGTAAATTAGCATAACGAAGCCGGTGCATCCACCCAAGGGAAGTTAATACACTAAGGGACATACTTGGGTGGATGCCCACTGGTGAATAACCATTGAGAAGCTATTAAGCAACCGCCGTACTGTATTACCTGGTAAAACAACGAGAGTCAGTCAAAGTTACATTGACATGGAGGCATTTATTCATTTAAACCTGAAGTCCCAAAGCGTGTCACGCATATACTACAATTAAATACAACTCACTGACGTTTTCAAAACAGATTTATCAGCTTTGAGGTGGCTTTTGGGGATCTGTTATTAACAGAAAGTAATCGTATTGTGAATACTGTATATGTCGTCTCATGTCTCTGACATGAAGAGATCCTATCTTTATGCTGGTAAAAAAACCTAAAAAAACATAACTAACTATTGTGAAAGTGTTTTCAATTTCTTTTTTTCAACTTAATCTTTTAAATATCGATTCTGATATCGATAATGAAGCTATCACTACAGCTTTGAGGTCATCGTTGTCGTCATAGCACTTTCCACGAAGGTGTTCTTTCAGTTTAGGAAACAGGTGGGAAAGAGGTGCCAGGTTTGACGAGTATGGAGAGTGAGGAAGCTTTACAAACCCACATTGTCGCACAGCAGCCTTTACAAGTCGAGAGGTGTGAGAAAAGGCGTTGTCATGAAGTAGAAGAGTGAGTGAGTGAGTGAGCACGGCTTTAACAGTATTCCAGTTATATCACGGCGTGTCAGCTTAATGTGGGAGGAAAGCCCGAAGCGATGCAGGTCTCAGACGTTTACCACTTCGGTGAAACCCACGAGCACGGGTATGGTGCTGACGAACCTAGAAACATAATCGAACCCACAATCATAGGTTTCTGACGTGCCCAAGGGACGCAACTCTGCATAGCGAATTGCGGCGCCTAAGACGACTAGGCCACCCGTGTCCCCTGTGGGAGTAGTAGTAGTAGTTGTGGCAGTATTATTATTATTATCAGTAGTAGTAGTAGTAGCATTAGTAGTAGTAGTAGCAGCAGCAGCAGCAGCAGTAGTTACGGTGTTATGGTAGCAACAGCAACAACAATGAGTGAGTCCACATCGAGCAGTATTAAGTTATCACGGCGTCACATTAACGTGGAGGAAATGCCTGGATGGAGGTTGACGATGCTTACAAGTTTGGTGAAACCCCATGCATACACATGGTGCTACCAAACCAAGGGCCATCATCGTTGTTAGTATGGGATTCGAAATCACAACATTGGCATCCTTGTCCGACCGGAACTCGACGGTTGGTGTGTGTGAAGAAAGTACAGATGAAGTGTGTACAGATAGTAATGTGAATCTGTCCTGGATATTTAACATGTCAAGGCTGTGATACCGATTTGTTTTATCACCATGTGGTCGTATAAGATAACTGGGACATGTAAGACGAATACTAACGACTATTGAGCTGCTTGCTCAACTACTCTAATGGCTTGTTTACAGTTTCTGAGAAACGACGACATGCCATTCAAGACAAATCAAACATCGACTTACAATGTACTCGTCATCATACTGAGTGATCCTGAAAAGAAAGTTTGCACAAATTGATAAAAAATAATCACATTTTAGGAATAAATATTCAAGATATATGAGTTTAATTTATTTAGGTTGTATTTCGAGAAAAAACAGAAGCAGAA